TGTAAGGTTAGGTAACAAAAGGGTGAACTCACTCAGCAGTTAAATGCCTTGCCTGAATCAGGGAATCACTTGAAAAGCCTAATTGTATCTATTCACCTAATTTCTTATACCATGCTAATTCAGTACCTTCCGTCCTGGGTTCTAACCACTAGACAATATTTCCTCTCTCAACATATATATCTTCACTAGTGTAAGTAATAACAACAACAACTATATTGCACTTCTGTAGAGCAATACAGCATCTGTTTGGTGATTCAGGACTGACAATATGCCCTCTAAGGCTTTCTCTTTTATTTTTAGCATTGTAATATATTGCCATAAAGAACATGAAGATGTTGTCTGCATTAGGCATGTGCAAGTCAATGAAATATAAACTGCATGAAAAGTAAAGGGGGGGAGGGAAGGACTCATTCCATTGCTTTATTTTAATATGTAGGAATAAAGCCATTAAACGGTCCTCCAATAGCAGATGCCCTAGCCTTAATGTTTCTTCCCTGACAGCTTGACTTTTCACTGCTCCTATTATATTTTGTATCAATGCTCACATTGAACTCTTGTCTTCTAATTTTCTGAAACAGTGATTATCTTTTATCTGAGTTCTAGCAGATCTGGATACTGCCACTGCCTGCTGCATCTTATGACTCAGAGCAAGCATACATTGAAGCCAGTAATGATTCACTTACAAAGCAGTGGTGTGAGCAATCACAGCTTTCATATGCCATCTGTTTCAGTAAGCTAAATCCACAGAAAATGGACCATATATCCATGGTTCTTCCTCTGTTCATGGATGAAAATACATACACAGATCCATGTTGTACAGTAGGTGCTTTCTGTGTCAGGAAGAAGATGAAACTGCATGTCAAATCAAAAGTCTTTCTCTGATTAAACATTGCTTTTTCTAAACACTGCTTAGTGCAGTATTCTATAGTTCAGGTGCATGTGTGTTTGTCATCTGGCATGTTACTGAGAGAGTTGGCTTTATATCTACTAATGTACAGCCTACTGCTGTGAGGACAGGAAATAATTAGCCCATCTACTGACAGACAGACACACCAACACGCTTTCTGTCTCTTTCTAAATCCTTTTTTAGTGAACTGATTTCCAGGAATACCAAAGAAAATTAATTGGTTTGAAGTGGGTATAATTTCCTCACTTTCTTGTGATTTCAGAATTTTCAGTTAAAGATGTTGTGAAGTCCCAGTCTGAACTGTTATTACATGATGGGGAGAGTGAGCAAAAGTTTCTTCCGTAATTCCTGCAGCAGAGCATGGAGTTGAAAACTTAGATGAATAGCTTTAAAATAGACGAGTAGCTTTAAAATAAAGAGTCATGCACTTAGTTCGTTGAGTATTGCTGAAAGTTCACCTAAGCCACAGGCAGTCTTTGGGGCGAGAGAAGCTCATAGCTGCAAAACTCCACGATATTAAGCCACCAAGGTAAAGAGTAATCTTTAAAAAAAAAAAAATGAAAGCACTTCCACCATGAGATCCATGAAAATAAGCAGAGCACCTGGTCTGAAAGAAAGGAGCAGCTGGTGTTCATTTCTGCAGCAGTAGGCTGGAGAACCTTAAGATCTTGCTCAATCTCTCTCTCTCTCTCTCTCCCAAAGATCATCTTGCTAGCCTGCCTTGAAGTCCTTAGACCAGATTATGGAACTACTATTCTGAAACTGCTGAGGGGCATGGAATGTATTTTTGAGGCTGTGCAAGAAGCTTTAGGGAAAAACAAACTTAATGTGCACATTCAAAACTGGGCGAACAGCAGCTGCAGGCCAGACACACAGCTCTGAAGACAGTACCACTGCCAGCAGAAGCATAGTAGGGTCTCATGGTATGGTACTGCCACCCATATTTCTGTGCTACTGATGCTGGCTGTGGTGCAACTTTCAAAGCTAGCAGCCACCTTTCTCTGCTCTGATTTCATAGCTGGACAGCTAGAGAACGGCGGCTGCTGGCTGGTGCCAAGCTCTGAAGGCAGCACTGCTGCCAGCCGCGGTAGAGAAATAAGGGTTATGATGCCATATCATGCCACCCTTCTGTCTGCACTGCCATCAGTGGTATAAACTATTGCAGTCACAAAGTAGGGGGGATGATCAAATAAGTATGATCACATTGGGCAGAATCTCATTGTGTTTGGGTGTGGTGGTACCAAAGTAGTTTGGCAAGTCCTTCCTAGAATGCTGAGCTTGACTGTGATGTGTGTTTCTTCTAACCATATAAACTGTACATCCTATTGAAATGGAAATATTTTGCTTAAACAGGCCTCATTTTCAAATGTACACTAGACTTTTTCTAAAAAGTGACATTTAGAATACCAGCAGTTTGGGATTCTTGTCAAAGTCATGTCTGCTCTGAGCGTTGTACCTCTTATGTAGCGCACCTGCTCCTTGCTGCTGTAACATGACAGCTGTGGTCAAAAGGAGGTTTAGAGATCACTTTCTGTGACTGCTCCGCCTGTCATTTGCTGAATGGATCTGTCAAAACATGTTAATTTCTGAACTTGTTTCTTCGTTCTTCATAGCTGGTTTCTTCATTGGTGCTTCAAGGTTTGTTCAGCTTGCTGCACTCACTGAGCTCCGCAGAAGCACATATATTCTGGTTCTGAGCTAACAATGCAAAAATAAAAAACTCGTTCTTGTGAGAGAGTCTCTCTCTGAGCTGAGCATGCCTGAACATCTCTGAAGAATAAGAAATAATGTCTGTAAAAAATAAATAAATAAATAAAAGGGCACATTCTGGTTAATAGAACTCAAGCCACCTTTGAAGAGGAGTAATACGATGAAGCCCACAATGGCTGTAATAGAGGAGGAGGTTGGAGTAATGGAACGGAACAGCCCCATGAATGCAGAGTGCACATGTCCTCTCCAAATGGTCTCTCCTATATGTCGTTAAAGCTTTGCACTGTCTCTGAACAAGAGCCTGCAGTGCAATAGAAATGCTGTAGTATCTACAGTGCTTCAGAGATAAATTTTTAGTCTCTGAAGCACACTGATACGACACAACTAGAAACCCTTTCCAAGTGGGGAATTATACTACCAATTTCATATTATACAGGTCATGAATCATTTCATTGCTGTACAGGCAAATGGACAGTGTTACTGGGCACACTTATTTTGATTGCAGTTGGCCCAGCAGTAACCAGCAATATATTTACATATATTTACTGCTGTCTCAGTGAGGAAAAAAAAGAAATGAATGAAAACTGTAAAGTAAAAATAGGAATCTCAGAATTAGATACAGTGAAATAGGTTTTGGAGGGGTAACCATGTTAGTCTGTGTCAGCAAAAACAATGAGGGGTCCTTAAAGACTAACAGATTTGTTTGGGAGGATGCGTTCGTGGGCTGGAGCCCACTTTGTCAGAAACCTTCACCCATGTGTCTGATAAAAGTGCTCCGGCCTGCGAAAGCCCAAATAAATCTATTAGTCTTTAAAGTGAAATATTTTCTTTCTTTCTTTCAAGCTTTTCTTACCATTGTCATTTTGAAATCCCGTTTTTTCTCATTGCTGGATATTAGGGTGTATATATTACATTGCAAACTCCAGCATAGACTGTCCTGCATTAGTAGGTCTCCTTATTAACAGGGAGGTTTATTTCTGGCTATGACACATGGACAAGTGGGCATCTGTAGCTAGTTACAGTTTGTAGTTGAGAATTGGCTCTAGCTCCTCTGCCCACTCCCCCAGCTGACTACCTGGTTCTTCTTGCTCAGTGTTTATGCATGAAGAGCAGATAGCGTGCAGCTCGCATAGGGCCAGATTGTGGCTTTCACTGCACGAGGGTGCAAAGAGCTGCTTTCTCCTCCACCTCTGCCGAAAGCTAGCCTCTCTATGCTCAAGGATGGCTCCAAATAGCATCCCTGGCTGTACTAACTTCCCCAGAGGAAACAGGGTGAGGACAGGGCATAGTTCTAGCGCCTGCCAGCTGAATGGGGTTGGCAGTTATTCATGTGGAAAGTGTTTGTTGTTTTGGTGCATGGAAAAATGCAACCAATGTTTTTACTTCTTATAAAAGTGGAAAATGAGCTGCTGACTTGTAATAAACCACACTGATCCAACTTGTCTCCGAAAGTTTCTCACTGAATGCTTCCTTCTTTGACATGAAAAATTCCAGGGCATTTTTTCTTGCAGCGCCAGATGGGGCAGGGTCTCCTCCGGCCACAGATGAGCTCTTCCATGTGTGGTGGTAGAGCACCTCTACGCAGCCCTCCCACCATGCAGGGAAGCACTCTTTCATGGTGGGAGGAAACCTTGCCCCTCCTGGTGCTGTTGGTTGAGAGGTGGGACAGGACATGCCTCTCCCAACAGCTGTAGCGAAAGCGGCATGCCCCAGAGATCTGGCAGCCAGAGATCCGTGGCCTGGCATTAGGCCATGGCCTAGGGCTTGGGAACCACTGTTTTGACCTACCTGACATTCAGTAATAGATTTAAAAGTAGTCTTTCTTCTACAAAGGAACTTTGCCACCCAATTAGAAAGAGAGTCTGCAGAACTGGAATTTATTTACAGATTTGACACTGTCATCCTGGGCTTGAATAAAGATATTAACTGGTTAATGCACTACAAAGGCAATTTTCCCTGCCTTTGACATTCACATTTTCACATCAAAACAATGAATCCATCTTACTTAATTAGCTTCATTAACATAAGTCCGACTATTGACAGGTAACTACTTTTGCTGTTATATATACCTGGGATTCTATTATTTCCATTCCAGCTCATCTGATGAAGTGGGTTTTACCCACGAAGGCCCATGATCCTCTATATTTGTTAGTCTCTAAGATGCCACAGGACTACTCATTGCTTTTAAAATTAGACTAACATGGCTACCCCTCTGAGACTTTCTGCAGTTCATTAGTAGTGCCCAGTATATGTATTTAATCTATAGCCTAAACTGGTATGTATTGTTGCTGTACATCTTTCAAGATTCTTATGAAGATCAATTTTAGTGCAGTTCCTGCAGCAAAAGTTTTAAATAATGTGATGTTCGTTTCTTCTATTGCAGATGTCTTGGTGGATGGAAAGGCCTGTGACTGTGATATTGTAGTGGACTGCAAAGTCGGGGATCCCATCGCTTTGGAGGTGAAGCTGACCAACTGGAGCAAACGCAGCGTGGGCCCATTTGCTCTAACAGTGATCCCGTACCAGGATTACCAAAATGGAGTGCACAACTATGAGCTCCATGATGCTATCACCTTTGTTGGATCCAACACCTTTTATATTGATTCAGTGAGTCTTTCTTTTTAATGGATCACTCATCTGCATGACACCTGCATTCAAAACTAATGTGCTAAAACAGGAGGCCAACAGATGCAGCTTTGTAAGAGTGAATTCTGTTGAAGGTGATTGGTTGACAGCATAGGAAACCCTTTTATTTCATCATACAAAAGTACAACATAAGTAGCCACTGCTGTGCAAACATTCCCATGCAGGCCTGCCAACATTTCTTAATTATGACCTACATAGGTCCGCCTCAAAGGGGATCCAGCTTTGTGCCTATTGAATCCTTGATCTTTCACTGATATCACCAACAAAGGGTTTTGAGTTTTTGAGTAATTTGTGATTTTGGGTACTTCAGTATTACGGGTGCACACTTTAAAGAGGCCTGGTTTTCCTAATGTACTAATGTTGACCAAGAATCCCAAACAATGCCAAGAGAGGGTGTTGGGTTCTGTAGAAAATCATTCCCATGTAATGATTGAGGGCCACCGATTCCTTTGACACAGGCAACTAAAGATGTTAATATCTTTTGATCATTACCAATCTTGCAAAAACCTGAACTAGTATCATTGATAAAAGGTTTGATACAATATTGCCAGTCCCCTGAGCCATTCAAACTCCACTAGCAGTTAAAGTTGAAAGAACTTTTTCTGCAAGGTAATGGAAATATCCCCTAGGCTGAATAAAGAAACCATCTAAAACAAATTTTAGTGAGGTTTTGAGGAAATGCTCCTGATATAGAATTTTTTTTAAAAAACAGCAAATAGTCCTGTAGCATCTTAGAGACCAACAAAAAATGTAGATGGTGTCATGAGGTTTCATTGGCACAATCCATTTCTTCAGATGACTGATATAGAGAAAATGAGATAAACATTACTGACCAAAAAGATGAAGCATGTTCATTCAGTTGTCATATAAATTTATAAAGGCTGCTCTCATCATTTTGATTTTTAAATTAAAAAAAAAATCAGTGTCAAAACCAAGAAAAAGTATTGTGTCCATCCTAAGAGGAGTTAAGCTTTCTCTCAAGTTTACTTAGAGAGATTTCAGGTTAGAGTGATTTTTGTTCCTGAGGCAAAACACTGAATATTATTTAAAGATAGAAAAAAAAATCAAAGAGGATTAAAAAACAGAAGAAAAATACTGAAAGACATAATAAGGAATGTTCTGTTTCCAGTAGCATATCAAATAAACATGAAGAGGGAGTGAGTCAGGTCTTTACTTAGGTCAGATCCTAAGTTACCCAGTAAAATATGACTGTCAGACCTGAATATCTAACTGAATCTGAGCTGGAGAGAAATTAACGGTTAACCATGGGAGACTCAATGTGCATGTTTTTTCAACTATACAACGTATACAGAAAATGTTGTTTTAAAGCGGTATTGCTTGCTGTATAATTCTAGTTTAAATGTGTCAACAGAAATCATCAAGAGAAGGTTTTCTTGACCTCGAGCTATCATTCTGGCAGCGCTGATATTTTTTAAATCCGTATTCCAGTGCTTAGGACCCAATTGTGCAAAAATCTTGCTCATGAGATTAGCAATAGAGAAGGTAGAAGTCAGTGTAATATATTCTGTCTTGTGATTGGGTCTCCCTTGAGGTGATAAGCCAAGAGGTTATTTCTTCTGTGAATATCTGAGTTGCAATTTCAGCAGTCCCCCTGCTGTTGAGTCCAACTCAGCACTGCTATTGTAAACACAATCCCTTATTAAAGTAGGGTTTGTTTTTTTAATTTGTTCAAATTCTAATTAAAAAAAGGCCATAGGGGAAATGTGAACTTTCTGAGACAAAAAGGTATTCTATTCGGTAGTACTGGTATCAGGGACTTTCCCACAGTAAGTCCCAAAGATAACACCTCGTCATACTTCCTGAGGGCTCCAAGTACAGATTACAGAAGGAAATTTCTTCAAGCAGTGGATCTGATGTTATCAGAGTCTCTCTCATCCTCCCATGTTGATCATATCATTAATCAATGGCAAAAAGTAAATTTCAGAAATTGATTTGTATTGTGGGTATTGATACTGTGGGGAGAAATGACTTCTACCAAGGTCTAAGCCAAATCTCAAAAAGACCCTGAGTCGGAGATTGAAAGAGTTCAGTGAATCTGTATTCTTTTTACATAAACTGACTGATACATCAGACCAGATTCTCAGCAGGTGTAAATCAGCCAATTTTTACCAGTAGACTATTACATTGACATAGAAATGCAGTGGTTGTCAATGCTGAATTGAGTTTCCCTTTCTGGACCTAACTGATATCCTCCAGTTTAGCTTCTTACCAAGCCAGGCTCCTAAAAATTCACTTTCAAGAAAATCTGTTGATTTTCTTGAGGCTTGAATTTCTTTCTGCACATATCTGTGGGGGTGGGAGGGAAGATGGGAGAGAAGGTTAGATAGATAAACACAAATTTCAGCACATTTTTTGTTATACAGCACAAAAATATTTCAATTCTTAAAATAAAAATCATGATTTTTCATTTCTGTCCATGGAGAAATACTTAATCTCCCTGAGAGTTGAAAGTCCATGTTCAGTTTCTTATTATCTAATATAGTGAAGTTGTCTTCGGATTCTTCTGTTTCAAACAATGGAAGAATCTAGTTATATTAAAAACCAAATTGTTTTATTGGTTTTTAATCATTAAAACATTTCTATGGATTTTAAATTCTACAAAATGTTTGTTTTTGACACAACTTTTAGTCTGAGTTAAAACTGCTTGACACTATCCCTTTAAAACACAAAAGAAAGATGATTTCATTAGTAATTAACAAGACTGTGATACATATTACCAGATGTAGGAATTTGAGACATGAGATAACAGTGCAGAGCCTAATTGATTAAAATACTTTGCATTGATTGAGAATTCATTTGAATTTATCTTGGCCACATTAAATCTAACCACTTTCGTAATATTCCTTCAGCTCTTACTAATGTTTTATCTCGATTAATTAGTTGCTCAGACTGAGCTGATACTTGCAAAATTAAAAAGGAAAAAGTCCAACTGCCCTGGAAATTTCTGTAACTATCAGCAACTTCTGTTTCCTATGTTCTCTACGATTACCAATATTATTTTCACAGTGTGCGTGTATTTACGAGATGGGTTAGGGGCTTGGTAATGGGGGAAAAACATTTAATTTCTGTATATAGTCACTTTGAATCAGCTCAGGAATAACAATCAACATCTGTTACCTTTTGACAGCTCCTCCATGTCCGATGTGAAACGAGAGGAACATCAGTGTAGTTTTACTTAAACTGTAAAGTCTTTACGGCAGAGGCCTTCTTCACAGTGCTTATGAACAGAGGCTGAGTTCCTGATTGGGGTCTCTAAATACTACAGCAGTACAAATAAATACTATCATCAGATATAATCACCAGCACAAGTGTTGCCTTGAATAGCAAGAGGCCAAGAACTGAATAGGACTGGAAACTGTATTTAGACTCTCGCTCCTAGATGACTGCAGGCCGCAAGGGCAAGGATCACCATGTGTAGTGTTGCATCCTTTTTGTGACACTGCCTCTGTGGATCTCTACACAAATCGTATGCCTTGTGCGGATAACTCCAGGCCTGATGATGGGAGTCGAGGGGTTGGGGAGAGCCAAGAAGGCAGTTGCCCATGGGCCCAGTAATTCAAAGGATCCCAGCAGGGTTCCTGGCCACTGCTACTACTACAGCGACAGTGGCCAGAGCCCCGGGCCCCATTGAATTGCCACCAGAGTGCCACACTAGGTGCTCTGTGTGGCTCTGAGGGCGGGGAGGGGCCGTACCACTGTCTGGATAGCGCTGACGGCTGGCTATCCTGGCCCCGCCTTCCCAAAGCAACGCCCTTGCAGGGCACAGAGCCAGACCGCCCCCCACACACACCTTGCCTCAGCACCCGCACTGGCTGTGGCCCCGTTGTATGACTCCTATAGAAATGCCTTGCGTAGGTCTGATCCTGCAAGATGCTGATAATCTCTCCCCTCCCCCACCGCAACTGATTTAAACATGTCTTGGAAGCACTCAGCATCTTGCAGGATCAGGTTGCTACAGAACAACATTCATTGGCAAGTAGTAACCTTTCTCCCCACCATTCAGTTTCCTTCATCTCTTTTGAAACACATGACATTTGTGGGAAAGTTTCAGTGAAATCTGTTCAGTCTTTATGGCTCCAATTGAGCAAAGCATGCGACTAATCCCAGCTCAGTTCAGCAAAGCACGTAGTTAATTTTAGATATGCAAAAGTCACTGTCGCTAAGACATGATCTTAAATTTAAGTCTGTGCTTAAATGCTTTGCTGAATAGGGATGGGATTATTCGCATAATTATAGTTAAATGCATGTCTACATGCTTTATTGAGTTACAGTTTATGTATATAATTTATTATAAGTATATAAACTGTGAATTGCTGTGTGATGAAAAGTTCTATATAAACGTGAAAAAATGCTTCAGTGTACGATACTGAATTGGGACGTGCTAATGTGGGAGGTCTGTCATCTTGAGATGTCTCCCACTAAATTGTTTTGGCTCAATGATGGTGAAGCACATTGTTTATTTGGACAGTGCTGCCATAAATGCCACTTCATGGGGATGAATTCAGCTATACCCAACTGATTAAGTGGTCTTTAAGTAGTTGTTTAAAAACCAGTCTTTTAATATACAAGGAACATAAGGAATAAGAGTTAGATATTCCTGGCTACTCAGGAAGTCTCTCATGGCTTCTGCCAAACACAGCCAAATTCTGATAGATTCAAGAGATCTGTGCTCCACCAGAGAAATGCTGCAAGGCTTAGGGTGAACCCATTGAACTTCATTCTCAATACATCAGCGTCACCATCAGTCAAAAGGGGATAAGAACGGCCAGACTGGGTCAGACCAAACGTCCATCTAGCCCAGTCTCCTGTCTGCCGACAGTGGCCAATGCCAAATCCCCCAGAGAGAGTGAACACAACAGGTAATCCTCACATGATCCCTCTCCTGTCATCCATAATAACGCTTACTTCCTTGTGGGAGAGGTGAAGGGGGTTTGGGAGGTTTGGCTTATGAATGTTTCTAGAACATTTTGGGATCCTTTGATGGAATATATTATAGAATGGCTTATTATTACTATTATTATTTATTAATATTATTATGAACCAAATTTGTTTTAATCAGCTCACTTAAACCTTTTCTCTTTCAGGTGAAGCCATCCGAAAACTCCGTGTGCTTCGGCGCTCTGCTCTTTCTGTACACGGGGGATTTTTACCTGCATATCAAGTTTCATGAAGACCACTCCAGCAGGGAGCTTCCTCTCTCTTGGTTCTGCCTGCCCAGTGTTCACATTCATGCTGTGGAGCCTGTGATCCAGACTAAACTGTAAATGTACCGTATGATATTGGATTAGCCACAGTGCACACAAACACTTGACACGTCCTCTGCTTGACCCCACTTTCTTTCCCGCCACAGGCCTTTCTTTACAGGCACAGCTGAACACTCTTAGAATGGACTCAAGTCATTTGGGCAGCTGGCGTTGCTTATTTGGAAAGGAATGATGGAATATAATGAACTGGATTCCTCGCCCCCCCCCCCCCCCCCCCGCTCTTCCTGACAGCCATGCCTCCCCATTGATCTGAGTGGATTTGCAAGGGTGTATGTAAAAGCTGAATTTAGCCATAAGCTTGGAGGGCTTAGCTCTAATCTGAACGCTACCTAAGGATATATCTTCAGCACTTGAACAAGGATTGTGTTTTTCCATTAAATTTCCACCACCACATTGAATGCACCATTTAGGGCTTATTTTCTCAATTGCTGTGTCTTCCTATGCTTGTTTCTAAACCCTTAGTTTGCTGAGTATTTTGGTGTCTTTCTAACTCTGAATATATGTAACCCATGCAATCGCAGAACTTATTTTTTCCTTTTCCACCTGATTCTAAGGAAAGTAGTAGCAGTATTGCCTTTTAATATGTTGTTTATCACGGGAAACAGCAGTAATTCTATTGCCAGTTCTTGTTGATAGGATAGGCATGAACTCAAAAAGTAGTCTCGGACCTGCCTGAGTCGCAGGGCAGTTTCTGCCCTATGTTGTGTGCATCAGTACACCAAAAAATAAGGAAGGCAAGATGGACAGAAACATTTCTGTTCCTACCAGAAAGGAGAGAAACCAGATATTTGCCTGCCTGTGGGTAACCTATGATGTCAGAGTCATAGGCACTTGGATACTATTTCAAGCATTTGTGGGTCCCTTAAAATGTCCTCATGATGAGACTCTGCTGATAGATTTTAAAGCGTTTCATAAGAAATTGTTTCCAGACATCCACTAATCAGGATTTTCATGTTGACAGGCCAAGCTAGATTGTAGTATCTTCTTCTTTTCTTTGTCAAATGAATAAAATAATGTTATGGGATAACTGCTGCAGGGTACTTCACTGTGGCTATAGCAGCCAAATGTAGTATAAATGTGCTTTATTGTATTGTCTTTTACATAGGCGCTTTGAATAAAGAGACCAAGGCTCACCCACAAGGTGAAACACTGAAGGTGTCTGATCTGTGCATGAATTTTTCTTTCTTGCTGCATGAGTCATATTTGTGTCTAAACATGCAAATAACCAAATGCAAATTTTATTCAGATTCTGACAGCCCACTCCACTTGAAGTCGATGGAAAAATTCTCATTGCCTTGGGTAGAAACACAGTCCTGCCCAGGCTCAAGTGAATGATGAATACTGCAGTTTGTGAATGGCAATAATGCAAAAATATTCCCACTTGAACAGTAGTTTCTAAGCATGAGAAGACTTTTTGCTTCAGGCCATCGTATCTACATTTCCAGTACATTCAAGCAGCAATGATGCCTTTTGCTCCAAAATTTTGTTTGTCACAACAGAATCACTCTTCGCTATTGAGTTGGAGGAAAGATCTGTCTGGAACTTTAGCATTTTGGAGGAAAAGATCTTAAAAGTTCAAATGACTGTCTAAACGGCTTATCTGGAATGACAAATTCTTCTATCAGCTGTGAGGGGGTGCGGTGCCCCAGGACAGCAGAATTAGTTCCACAGCTTTGTACTGTTCTTCTTAGGGCAGCAAACCCTGACAGGGAAGAGACGCTGAATGACCAGCTTGGCGCTTTCTTTACATTGGCAAAGCTCCATCGAACAGAGTTGTGTAATCGGGCCAAATTTATTGCACACCGTCGCATACCTATGTGGGCACTAAGGGAAGAACTGAGGAGAGTGGGAATTCAATTTCTCCAGGAAGGCTTTGCTTTCATTACATGTGCCCATACTATATAATGTGATACAATAATACTACTGTACCACCACACTCTAAATTGAGATTAATTCAGTAATCCCCAAAAGACATTCTTCATGCTGAAGTTGCTGCTAGGATTAACGCTAAAGCTTTGCAAGGACCACATTTACCTGGGTGTGAGACAAAAATATTGATAGCCTTGCTCTGAGTCTATTAATGGATGATTTTCTCTGTCTCTCTCCTTGAGTAGAGGATGTTGTACTGTGAAACCTGTACTGATGTGCAGCCCTCTGTTATAATGACCAGGGAAATAACACCATTTTACCATTAAGGAGCTAAGCCAAAGCCCATTGAAGTAATTGGAAACACTCCTGTCGAATTTGATGGGCTTTGACTCAAGCTCTAACAGCTGTCATTGTAATAACAGAAAGCTGAGTGTTTCGCAAGCAGGGCTTCCAAAATGGCATTTTAATTCTGCAGTATGTGCTCACTAACATAAGCTTTTATGTGGGAGTTGACCCTTATATATAGGGAATGAAACTCTGTTAACTTTGGCACTTCTAATATTGGTCCTGACTTTTCTATGTTTACCTGTCGGGATAAGAGAGCTGAAATGTCATGCTCTAGATTCTTAATGCTGATGCTCACTTGTGACGAATATTACATGGTGATGTCATTTTGTGGGCGTGTATTCAAAATGAGAATGCAGAAGCTCATTTTTTGGTGTTTAAAATAGAAAAATTGCACTGAAGCTGTTCTTAGGATTGGTATTTCCAGTGATTAAAGTAAAGGACTATGCTTATCTGATCTGCTGTCCTTTTCAGGAAATGCAAGCTGATTTTACTGCCCCTTGAAACATCCAGCTATTCATTCAAATGTAGTGAGCCAAACTGTACTTTGTTATACAGCTGTAAATCTAACATGACCCCACTTAGTTATTTAAACCTCAGCTCCTGAGAGCAGAAATTGGCCCAATACACTGGAGAAACTTAAGTCATGTATAAATGTAACTATGCAAATAAATACCTAGCTGCTATTTACACATCTGCCTGTCTCTGCTGTGCCTAATTCTTGACAGCGTCCCTTATGATTTTGCCGGTAGTAATAATGTATTACACAGTGCCACCAGCTCTCCTGTGTTTCTACACAGCGCCTGGGCCTGGAACTAATACAATTAATCTTTGTCATCTGAGGTAATTTTAGTGCTAATCAAAGGTGCCAGATTCACAGTGCTGTTCCTGTTTGTCTCTCCATAAAGCAAGTACCCTGTGAACGGCAGCAGAGCAATCTTCCTCTTACTGCCTTGCCAATGGGCCTTGACTCTAACGTGAAGGGAACACTTTGAGCAGTGAGAGGTTATCTCAGTCTCTATGCTCATTCTGTCCTCAGCCTGAGATGTCTGCTAAATAGTAGAGCCAGCCTGATACTGATTCCCCAACCCTCAAGTATACAGCAGCAACAACCTATCCCCGAGCAGGTATTTCCATACCACCCACCCAAAACTGCAGATCAGTCTGAGCACCAGCGCTACCCTGCCAGGAAACCTCCTGCTGCCTCGCACTGCACCAGACTCCAGCACCTCCCAGCCTGCCCCCACCACTGCTCCTGCCTTGGCCTTAGCATCATAGAATAGAATCATGGAATACTAGGACTTGAAGGGACCTCGAGAGGTCATCGAGTCCAGGCGCCTGCCCTCCCGGCAGGATCAAGCCCTGTCTAGATCATCCCTGATAGACATTTATCTAACCTACTCTTAAATATCTCCACAGATGGGGATTCCACAATCTCTCTGGGCAATTTATTCCAGTGTTTGACCACCCTGACAGGAACTTTTCCCTAATGTCCAACCTAAACCTCCCTCACTGTAGTTTAAGCCCATTGCTTCTTGTTCTATCCCCAGAGGCCAAGATGAACAAGTGTTCTCCCTCCTCCTTATGACACCCTTTTAGATACCTGAAAACTGCTATCATGTCCCCCCTCGGTCTTCTCTTTTCTAAACTAAACAAACCTAATTTCTTCAGCCTTCCCTCATAGGTCATGTTCTTTAGACCTTTAAGCATCCTCGTTGCTCTTCTCTGGACCCTTTCCAATTTCTCCACATCTTTCTTGAAATGCGGTGCCCAGAACTGAACATAATACTCCAATTGAGGCCTAACCAGCTCAAGGCCTGTCTCAGCATCATCCTTGCCTTGCACGAGCCTCACTCCAGCCTGGTCGCCCACATGCACCGGCCTTGCCTCCCTCGCTTGATCCTCTCCCTCACCTCTCAACTCTGATTATCCAGATTCAGCCTCCAACCTGTATCTGCACTCCAGCTTCAGTCTCAGCTTGTCTCGGCTTTGGACTCTGACACCCTGACTTTGACACCTTGATCTACCCTTGGACTCTGGCTGCGGTTCTGATTCTGGTTGGGTTACGAATGCTGATCTCAGTTTTGAACCCAGCTTGTCTCCAGCTCTCAATTCCAGGACCATTGTTGGCCCAAGCCCAACCCTATGCCTAGCTGAGATCCATGTTTTAACCACTAGGCCTGATTACCAGAGGCAGTGCCTGATGCCAATTCTGATGGTGCCAATAGCATGAGACCTATCCAAGTGATGGCCTTGCCATTTTTTATTTTCTGGGGGTTAATTTTCCTGTCTTCAGGTGAAGGTGTCTTGCCCCACTTCATTTACAGACCTCAATCATAAGCAATGAAGGTTTCTGGGTATAAAACATTCATGATTTTGTTTGGGAAATTAACTGATACCAAAAGGCTGTGACCACAAGCATGTTATCTCTATGCCAGGTGGAATGCTGCCCCTAGCTGCGATTCCTCTTGCAGTCCTTCGCCCAGGACTGGTCCAAGAGCAACTGAGTTGTACTCATCTTTGCTCACCTCTGCACATACCATCCCCTGCTATGTCCCAATCCCCAGAGCTGAAGCAAAGGACACAAAATGAAGACATAAAATTGTATGAAAATGGATTACACTTCGCAAGCTATTTATACCTGGAAATAATGCAAAGCATTAATAAATTATAGCAGCAATGAGCATTTTATAAGCATAAATAGCATGCGCTACAGATGCTTGTAAACACATTAATATAAAGGGTGTTATTGACAATTATAAGTAACAATTCTAGAGACCAAGAAGTCAATAACAATGTACAGCAATTGATTTACCAAACATTTAAATCTCAACCATTGAGCATTTATTAATCTTTTTATGAATGGGCTCTCAATATCAAATGTGACTTTAGAAAATATGATACATGGGACTTGTTTCTTCTGAAAAACCATAAAAAGACAAAGATCCCTGTTAAATAGCAGCCCCAGTATACTTACTATACAGGGGGCTGACTTTCTGGGATGG